AAAGCCTAATACTCATATAGTGCTGCTTATTTTAACAGATCTAAGGGCTCTTGTTTACTGCGAGCCAGTATCATTCCTCCTATTTTATGTAAGGAAAAACTGTGGCATAGAGGTGAAAGATAAACTTTCAAAATTGTACCACAGTGTTTGGGCCCAACTTGAGACATCTTAGGCTTGTTTCTCAGAGACGCTGGGCACCCTCTGCTCTTACTGACTCTAGTTGGGTTATTGAGTGCTCAACATTTCAGAAAAGTCAGACTCCACCTCTCAGAAGTTGGATACCTCAAACCAGAGGCCACTTATAAGTGACTTGCAAGAAGTCGTAGGCTGAGTCACTGGCAGAGCTGGAAATAGACAACAAGCTTTCTGATGCTTTATGCAATAACCGTCAGACTACTCCCTGCCAAAGGAACATGACGAGAGGAATAAAACTACAAATTGTTGTCTCACTTTGAAATTCAGCATGTGCTGTAGTTGAGGATTTAAAAGACCAAAATAATAAGTAACATGAGTTGTGTATGTATTTCAACTCTGCCTTTGACTAGCTGGGTGATCTTGGACAAGTTTTGTAGCTTTTCTGCACCTCTGTCTGCCCGTGTGTTCAGTGGCTACAGTCATATTTCCTCACCTTACAGAGGGGGTCCACTTAAACTTCAGTGGTATTTGTATTTGTAATGAGATTTGAGCTGTTCAGGCAGAAGCCTGTGTAAACTCAAAGTATGAGCATTAAAATATGCAGAAGGGTGTGGTGGGTGCTCCTCATCACACTTCAGGATCCTTTGCAAGACATTCGTGTTCTGTAAGCTTCCATGAGTACAGTAGAAAAGTAACCATTAGTAAACTAATCATTGCTATGTCTTAGTAAAGAATGCATTCAGTTGGCATTTACTAACAATTTTGAGGAAAGCAAGCAGTGTATTGTGTATAGAGCCCAACTCCCGAGATGCCACTTACAATTATTAAAGCGTTGCAAGTTCACTGACCGCTCAGACATCTGTGCATGAAGCTTTATCCCCACTTTTTCACTGCAAAGCCACCAAGCAGGCTGCTGCAAAATCCAGGATTAGAAATCAATGCAAGCATTTATGCTGGCAATATAAACATAAAATGATAGGTAGTAAACTTCAACTGAGCCCATCTTTCTTTTCCCTTGACATACCATGGCTTGCCCAGTGCTGATGTCCCACTTCCCTATGTTTCATCAACCACCACACTTCCAACTTAGGCTCTGGGGCTCCATGTCTTTTTTCCAGAGCACTCCCAACATCCTGCCTTCCTGGTAAACCAGGCACAGATCCCAAGGTTCCCCACATGGCAGTGCTGAGCAATAGTTCCCACTCGGCAGCAGGGTACAGTGCAATCTTTCTGCTTCCTTTAGTACAGGTATGGTTGTTCCTATGCTGTGTAGGGAATCCCATGCCTCTTTATAACATGAGAATATGTTCTCTCTTTCTGGACATGAGAATATTTGGTCACTCTTCAGATATTCTGTTAAGAGTGGGTGTGCTGCATTTCAAACACGGCTCTCCTGAGGCAGAGGTTCCATGTTGTCACTGAGCCTCCTGCTGGGGATCTGCAGAGGCTGCTAGATTGTACTCTGCTGGCTGTCATCCTTATTTTCTGTGGCAAGTTAAAGTCTGATGTTTTCCTAATTATACCAGTCTGTGCCAATAGTTCCTGTAGTGGCCATGTGATGCTATGTGATTACAAGCGAGAGAGAAGTGTTTAGAGCAGCAGAAAGGAAGGGCAGAGGTCCACGAGATATCTCTTTAGACGAAGCCCACACTATGGACAAGTTCAAGAGCCTTTCTTCCAAAACAGTAGGTTGTGTGCGATTGCCAGTATTTCCCGTTCCCTCCCAAAGAGGATAGAAGTGCAATAGATTTGATGGATGTGTACACAGTTTTGCATGTGCTAACTAAAAATCTGAAGGTTGGAAGCAGCTGTGGGGTTCCTAGCAAGGTTGTAATGTGACATTAGCTGTTACAAAGCTCTCCACTTAATAAAACATATTTCTACAAAGCTGTCTTTTCTTTCCATATGACTTCACTGTAGAGCCGTAATGTAAGGATTTATAAAAATAGCATTCTGATTGGGTCCCGAGGTCAAATGCAGTTCAGATATGGGAGCTGTTTTGATTTCTCATAGATTCTCGTGCACTCTTTAGCTGTAGCTCTTAAATTAGCATGTTGAAAAGGCACTAGTAGAGCTGAAAGTCTCTAAACAGTCTAACGGTGCTAAAACAAACGCAGCAAAAATGTCTCCCATCAAAAACTGTATTGAAAGGAGTGTCATTTGGGGAAGTTTGTCTAATGGACTGACACTTGGAAAGCTCATTTTTGTGAGCAAACCGCATGAAGTCTTGCCCAAGGCTGTCTGCAAAAGGTGTTTTGCTTGGCCACAGTCAGCTGCCTGGGTGATAAGAGTAACCTGGCTTCAGTGATTTGTAGTTTAAACCATTACATTTTCTAATTCCCAATAAACAAATGAGAAGCATCTCAATACACTGATGTAATGCTTTTCCTGGAATCTACTATTGCTGTTGTGTGAAGATGAGTCAGTTGGAGTTGTGGATGCGTGTTGCTGTTGTCACTACGCTAAAATAGCTAAGGAGGGTTTGAATCTGAGCCCTGTTGTGGAGCTACTTTGGATACGTGTTCAGAGGGTTGGCATGTGGTTATAGTTGCTCCGTTTACCAAAAGCCGACCTTCTCTGTAGTCTGTCCAGCTGCAGTGGTGCAGACTCTCAACTGGCATGAAACAAACTAGCTCCATCAAGTTGAACTGAATTCATCTCTCTTATTCCAGCGGAGAATCTGACCCATGCTGGTAGCTTATTCCTGGTGCTTGGGAGCAGTTCTCCATGTTTTAATCAGACTTTCTTTGGAGAAAGAGAAGAATCTGTAATCATGTGCCAGGTTTTGTAAATACCTTGGCATTTCTGAGCACTGTTGTAATCAAACTGCAGACAGCATGTCTACTGCAAATTCAGAGTTTTAAGATTTTTATCGCCTAAGGAAAGTGCACTGACATATGCGGTAAAAAAAAAAAAAAAGAAAAAAAGTCTTAAAGCAGCTAGAGCCCTAATGCTATTTTTTTTGTAAGAAATTGAGAAAATGCATTTTCTTTTCTGGTAATTGAACTGGTCATTAAACAGTAAAAGGAAAATGACAAGAGACTTTATGGTGTAACTTCAGTCTGGTGGATAAAGCAGGTATCTTGATACTAACTGTTAATTCCATTGAATTGAAGCAAGACTCAGAAACTCCCGCTGCCTTTCTGATCTATAAAACCAGGCCAGCGCTTCAGATTTCTTGTGCTCAGTGTTAGCAGGTGCTTTCAGATTCTCTAAAGGATGCAGTGGTGCAGTACTTGATATCTCTGTAGGATAGAGGCAGAGCTGGCTGAGACCTCAAGGTCATATAGTATGTCCTCCCACCCCCACCTTTTTGAGGCAGGATCAAATATACCCAGACCATCCCTGATAAATGGTGGTTGAACCTGGCAATGCATGAGCAAATAGTGATGCTAGATTAAGCAGCCAGCTTCTCCATTTGAATCTTTGAAGAAGCCTGCTGCCCATGTTACAGCCTTCCGTCATAGGAAGGATTAGAAATGCTCTCTGTCCTTTTCCTCAGCCTTTTAACTTGAAGGGCTAATTGCTACCTTGTGAGCTGCCACTCTCCTTAAAATCCCCCTTTTTGTCTGAACATTAGCCTTCATGCCCAGAGACTTGCCCGTATTGCCAGTGGGATACTATCTGCATTGTCATGTCAGCATAAATCCACTCTACGTGGAGTATGCTGATGTACTCGAGACTGGAAGTTTGCCCAGTTAAAAGCAGCTCTTAACTTCTACTGTCCTCACTTGCACTTCGCCTGGAGGCAGAAACTCAGTCACCTACCAATGTAGGAAAAGACTGCAAAAGAAAATGTTCCTTTTAAGACAAAGCTGTTATCTATCAGGTTAGGAATGCAGTACCTCGTTTCATTAGTGTTAGAAAAACTGCAGCACAGCTATAGCGCTGGAGGTCACCATTCAGTTCCCAATAACATGGACAGTGAATGATGCAGTGACGGTTTTGGTTTTGACCGGTTGCAGGCTGTGTGGTGTTCCTGCTATAATGATCCACCAGTAACACCCTGAATTCAAAACTGTTTCTGTGCAGCATCTATTTTTTTGAAAAAGCTCTTAGAAGCTCTGCAGATGAACACGAAAACTGTTAAATGAAAGCCAGGCATCCTGGATGGGAGCACCATCATTTTAAAGTGGTGTTTCAGTACTGACCTTATTGGCATAGCCACCTTTTCATCCTTTGTGTGAACATTTTTAAGACCCTTTGAATCCATTTATCTTTTTTTCTTAGATAGAATCAAACTGTGTACACTCTGTTGTGTGATGAATGTTCAGTCACTCTCAGGTTTTCCAGATCACCAGTCAAATTAAGCTTTTGCTGTAATTCCCAAACATTTCTATCCAGTGTTTCTTCTTTCACTTTTGGAGTCTTGACCCTGTAGCTGTTGGACAGGTAGCATATTGGTTTCAAAAGGATTGTCTGCATGTGGAAGACTTGCGAGTATTTGCAGTAGGGTGTTAGAAAAAGTTGTTAAGAGCTTAAACAATCTGAAAGAACCTAGATGCTCCGTCTTGCCAGCTGTTAATTTACCTACGTCAATGAGATGAGGCTAAAGTGATTTTACTTTCTTTGGCATATTTTCTGATCTCAGCCAGGGAGCTTGACTCCTCAGAAATAAACCCATTTTTTTTCTTTGCTGCCACAGTTTGCAAGAACGGTTACAGCCAGACACAGCCTTCTGTTTCTTTAGTGTATTATATGCTGTATATTGGCTTCTGGTGTATTGGGCTATTACTTAAGCTATTAAGAAATAAGTAAATGCTGGCACAGGTTGAACATGGAGTGTTTAATGCAAGGTGCAGTGATTCATGCAGCAAACTTATTATTCCTGCCCTCTGATGCTCAATATTTATTATCTTCTCTAGTGTGTACCTGGTAGCTTGGAGGATCCAAAAAGCATTACGCATCATAAACTGATACATGCTACTTCAGAGAAGGTGCTGACCGATACAAAAACAGTCTTGGAGGAAAACATTCAAGATAAAGGTAAGCAGCCTCCGTACATTTGTAACTTGTGATCCTAAAAACATGGGACTGTATTTTAATTGCAGGTATATGTAGAACTGTGACTACCTTCTTACTTGTTTGGGGTTTGAAGATGAGGAAACCTCTCTTATAAAGGAGCTGTAAGGATTGAGAAATACATAAACAAGTTTGTATTTTTTCAAAAACCAAAAAGCCAACACCACTTAGTCTGTATTTTGCAACATGTTTCTATAGAAATAAAAGCCTGAATTCAGTACATGTGAGCTAAATGATTTAAGACAGACTTGCCAAACAAAAAAAATCCCACTGTTGTATTCTGGGTGCATACAGCTTTATCCATTCAGAACTTGTGTGTCTGATGCTCCTGAAGCTGGGTGAAATGGACTTTTCATGATCACTATCATATGCCTGTTTTTGTATTAAATGGGATTATTTTGATAGGTGACTATGAGTAAGTAAAAGGGAATGAAGCTGAGATGCACTGGATCTCCAAGTCAAGTCATCAAATTCTGTACTTGCTGAAGTTTATTTAAATGTCTTGGTGCAAGTGTACACTTAAGTCGTGCTTTGCAGCCATAGGTCCAAATGAATCCCTGGTGTAACTTGGCTGATGCCAGTACTATTGTGGCAGGCATGTAATTGCCCTATTGGATTAAAATGTGAAAGAATGAGAAACAAAGCAAGGTCTGAAGGTTAAAACAATAGGGAAAACTGTTTTCCATCCATCTTGGGCATCTACAGTTAACAGGGATGGGCACCGCTGGAGAATGGGGCCCTTACATACTTCAGCTTCTGTCTTCCACCTGAAGAACAGGTTGTAATGTCCTCTGTAACAGAGGTCCAGGAGACCTATTTAAGCAACTGGTTATTGAAGCACTTGCAGACCTTTGAAGAACAATGCTTTGGAAGTGGAACGTAGTAAAAGGCTGAAGGAAAGCATGTCCTGGGACATGAGGGAGCTTTCATACTCAGGCTTTGTCCACCTTGAGGATACATCCATTACAGGCATGGGTGAGCACCCACCATTAAACCCTACTGTAGAAAGTGAGCCGCTGGAAGGGGTCATTTCCCCTTAAATCAGGGCTAACCCCTGCTACTGCAAGTAGCACTGCAGTTATGCAGGGTAGCTGGCCAGGGAGGGCTGTGACTAGGGCAAATCCCAAAGGTAGACAGTGCTGTAGGCAGCCTAGCTCTAGGTAGTACCTCTCCAGGAGCTGGTGTAGTTTGTTCATGCTGCTGCCACATTGTCATTGCAGTGGGCCAGTTATTGTCACTTCTCCCAAACAAGCATCAGACTTGGGGGTGTTTGCCTTCCCTCTTTCCCACAGAAACGTTTTGGTTTTTTTTGTGAGGGGGGATTCCAGTAACAGGCAGTGTGTAACTATTCAGGAGCCATATTCTGAGCTGTTTTACAGCAGGGCAAAGCTGGTATGATTTCCCTGACATCATTTTGCTGTGCCAGTGTAACTGAGGTCAGACTCTTGCTTATGAGGGTCAGACTTTTTCACTATCTCTCAAAATAATTAAACTCCCCCAAAAATGTAACCCCCAACAAACAACTTGGATTAAAATGAGTTATTTTTTAACCTTCCTTTCTCTTGGCTACTGCTTTACATTTTGTGTGTTGCTTACTCTGATTGGTAAAGCATTCAGAGCACATCTACACAAGATGCTACGGCGCAGTAGCTTGTTGCTACTGTGCCATAGCATCGGGGGGCACTAACCATGACAGCAGTGGTACTGCGCAATAACATTACAAAAAAAAAAACTGTGCAAAACCAAAAATACCGGTTAAGCAAGTACTAAATGAGCGTGCAATAACAACTGTGCAGTCCACCACTCACGTAGATGCGGCCTGAGTGTAGCTTTTGTAAAATGTTTTATAGGTAGCTTAATCTTTTGACCCTTTTGCCCTAGTACAATGATGCTGCATTTGGACTGTATGCACCAGTGTAATGCAATGATGAACGGCCCACTAATGCTGACAACCATGTTTTAAACCGGAGAAATTCCTGACTGTTCCAATGAAATTAAGTGCAAGCGAAAAACAGAAGCCTTCTTTATTAAGCCTTTGACCATTCTAATGTTTTAAAGCAAAAGCAGCCTGGCACTGGTCCCTCTCATGTTATTCTTGAACATATTCTACTCTTGTTGTTTTTCCAGATGTTTTGCTATTAATAAAGAAGCGTGCACCCCCTCCACTTCCCAAAATGGCAGATGTATCAGCAGAGGAGAAAGTGAGTTCAAAAGATTTATGGGTCTTCTTGTGTTCATTTTTTTTTCCCTTTTATTGATAGCTGGGAGGAGTATAACTGTGGATACTTGCTCTTTAGTTATGGCGGAAAATGAAGATGAAATAATGTTAAGATTTGTTGCTCTTAAAGTTTACAGAGAATGCTACCGCACATGGTCTAATATTGCAGTAACATAAGCTCTAGGATAGGATAGGTAGGCTCTGGAAATACTCTAGGGTTGATCTTTATATAGGATCTAATCTAATATTAGTATCGTAGGTTGTGCCTTTTTGCATTTCTGTCTTCCAAAAGGTACCCGTTTCTATTTTCTATCTTCAAAAAGTCAAAAACCAGGTATGGCCAAGCAGGTTTCGAGGGCATTAACAAAGGCACTGCTAAAATTTAAACGCCATCTTCAGCATAGGTGGTTATGGGGTTCCCTGTGTAATTAATCTGTGTTAAGCACACTTTGGCACTGGTGATAGAAAAGTTGACACTACCTTTCCTTGTTACAAACAACCTGATCTATCTGCTTGCTTCTGTCTCTTTCTCTTTGTCAGTTCTCTTGTGACACTAGCTTCCTCTCAGTATTTGTTTTTGCCTGTCTTCTTATCCATGGTCCTGTGGTGCTGAGTGACAGCCTTAGGAGTTTAAGGCATAGGACTGGAAGGTATCTCCAGGGTCACCTAATCCAGCGCCCTGCTAAGGTCCAGTGTTGGACATTAAGCACTTGTCGAAAGTTTAGAGCGAGTCCAAGGCACCGTGTTTTCCTGGTGGTATTTACAAGCAGTGCGGTGCTTTGACTAGTTACTGTATAAGATATTCAGTCCTGTGTTTGAGGGGAGTGTTCTATTGCAATAAAACCAAAATCATTCCTAT